TGAAAATGAAAGGACATTTTCTTCTTTCTACATTTTATTTCTAAAAATTGCTTTAAAAGTTAAAAAATAATAATAATCCAACTTTATTAAACATTTTGTTCCCTGCACAAGACGTCATTGCATCCCATCAGTGCAATCATTGTTGTCATAGCCACAACCAAATAAGGTTGCAAGAAACTATATCTGATAATGGAATACTCTGAATTTTATCCGTCATTCTTTAACTGGTTAGCAGACTCACTGGTGTGTATCTTTGGTTTTTCAAAAGGCTTATGTTGCCTTTGATTTTGTGGTGCTGATGTGAATTTTAATAAGCAGAGCATAATTACGATGCTTTCGGTGTTTAACCATCATTAAAGAGGATATAGCTATCACAATAGATGGCTATATTCTCATTAAAGATGTAAGAAGCAATGTTTAGTACTTAAGGATGTGAGAGGCAGCATTCATAATAATAATAATAATAATAATAATAATAATAATAATAATAATAATTTATTATTTAATTATTATTATTATTCCTTTATCATATCAGTTTCTGCCAGGTTTCACCTTAGTCACAGTTGCTTGGAAGAATTTCACCTGATTTCCTGCATCCTTAATAGGCAGAGAACATACAATTTCTCAAAAAGCCTCTGTGCTGTTGCATTTGGAAAACTTTTAGGTGCTGTTTAGGTAAAACATGCCAATTGCAGTCCCATTTTATTAAATAAAAAGTTTTAAATCCCAGTCCCTTGGCTCCCTCTTTAGGATTCCCCTGTTGCAGCTAAAATTCAGTATCCGCAAATCCAGAAATCATATCCAGGAGTGGCCATGTTGGCTATACAACAAGGTACAGTAACATCTAGAATCCACAAAACGTATTTTGGATGTGTTTTCCAAGATACTGGGTTAGTCTATTGAACCTTAAGTAAAAAGTAATACTGTTGGGCCTCTTCAATTTGGCATAGCATAGGATTAATCCTGCCCTGCAGGTAACAACAAATGCTTTATAGAAGAAAATGAGAGCCATCTTGGCATAGTAGTTTGAGTGTTGGACGCCAACTCTGGAGACCAGGGTTTGATTCCCAGCTCAGCCGTGAAACTCACTGGGTGACCTTGGGCAAGTCACGCTCTCTCAGCCTCAGGGGAAGGCAATGGCAAACCTCCTCTGAACAAATCTTGTCAAGAAAACCCCATGATAGCTTTGCCATAGGGTGGCCATAAGTCGGAAATGACTTGAAGGCGCACAGCAGCTGGCATGTTTTGTGTCCTGATGATGCAAATTTTGGACAGAGTGGTATGGAAAGAGAAATTGGACGGTCTTTGGTAACAGTTTGAATATGCCATGAGTCATCAGTCGCCACGGCTGCCCCAGAAGCAGCACCTGGCATCCCCAGTTACTATGGCAATCTTATTTTAACAAATATCCTTTTTAATTTTTAATGGAAATCCTTTCTCTAGCAAGGCTGTGCGTTTTGCATCTACAAAGAGCAGAGTGGCAAAGAAAGGTTTCAAAGCCAAGTTTTTTGGCATTGAACTGTCAGTCTCCCTGACAAATCACTGTAATTCATCAGATGGATGAAATGGATCTCTATTCCAAAGCCAGGAGGCAAATGCAGCACAAATTCACATCTTAAAAACAACAACTCTCAAAGTTGAAAGTTGTTGCTTCTTTAATGTATTAATACCCTGGAGGGTGAGGATTTAAGATAAGAGTTTTATGAAACCCAGATGAAATCTTCTCATCTTTACTTCTCATTTTCGTCATGTGGAATCAAGTCAGAGTCAATTCAGCTAAGGTAGTCCAGGGTTCGATTCCCTGTTTGGCCATGAAATCCACTGAGTGACCTTGAGCAGGTCACATGCTCTCAGCCTCTGGGGAAGGCAATAGCAAACCTCCCCTGAAAAATCTTGACAAGAAAACCCTATGATAGGGTCATCATAAGTCAGAAACAACTTAAAGGCACACAACAACAGCAAATATCTGTAACTCTCTTTTTATTTTTATTTTTCAGTCTTGGACAGGGTGGCAGCCTAAGGTGCCCAAAGCCAGTATGGTCAGGAAAACAATCTTAGTTTTTGGAATAGAGATTCTCAATATAATTAGCAGGAGATAGATAGATATAGTGTCTGTCCATCTTGTGCTAATTATTGATTTTGAAGTATTTCAGTAAATTTTAGTCTGATTTCTCCGCTGCTCCATTCTCTCTGCTTGTAAAGACTTGAGTCCTCTTTGCAATCCAAAATAGATTAGACTCACTGAATTGAGTGTTGAATGGCAAGTGAACAGTTATGCAAATGTCTGATTCAGTAGATCTTCTTTAGGTAGGACTACCAAGAGAATTCGGGCCAAAATGGTGTGCCTTTCCATGTAAGTATACATGTTTAATGTATATTCCCCTTGTGCCAGATTATGGATTGTGAGACCAATGCAACAGAGACCTGTCCTCAGATTTCATGCTGGTGCTGATGTTGTTAGAAACATTATTTTTATTATTATCATTTCCAGTTAGCAATGGCGCACCCTTTCTTTCTCTGTATGGTTGGAGCCATGTATGGTCTACTCTGTAATTTAAGATTTAACAGAATTTCCAAGATTTTTTGCTGCTGTTGTTTTAAACCAAGAGAGTATCCAGTAACGACACACGCTTCATAGGTCAGGGACAGCTGCTTCTAATAAAGCGACATCTGACTAGCATGGCAGATCAGTTTAGTGGATATTGTCATTCTGGGACACAGAATAGATTCTGATTTATATCCTGGTCCTCAGGCAGGTAAAAGATTTGGGTGAGATAAGGGGGTGTGCATAGACCCTCCCTAAGAACATATTAAGTGCCCTGTGTTAGGGAGATGACTGAACAAAGAACAGCGTAGTCTTGCAAGGAAGAGAAAGCAGTCTTGCTGCATTGTTAACATCAGTACATGGAACGGTATGTTGAAAGGGCTCTGGTCGTTTACTAGCTGTGATTTTAATTGCTTCGTTATATAATCACAAAGGAGTGTTGATTAATAATGATACTGAGATTCTACAGCTTTGCCAGGCAACATGAGACATAGCTGCTAATGCAGACTCTAGGAGCGCTGTTTTATTTATTAAGGACATTTGTATGCCACCCGCATGACAAAACGTTAGCTGGGTGGCTTATAATAAATACATAATCAATGGCTGAAATGCAAAATAGGACATAAGACCATAACGTTAGAAACAGCTTAAGTACAGTAGCATAAAACAAAATCCATTGCAATCCCAAAATTAAAACACAGATTTATTGAAGTTATTTAAAAGGTCTGACAGAACTTTTTGGTGTTTGTCTGATTTACAGCTATAAGCTAATTGCCTCCTACAAGCTAGGTATTCATTTTAGCGACCTCAGAAGGACACAAGCCTGAGTCAAGCCTGAGCCCTGGCTGGTACTGAACTCACAACC